GACATCCCAGAGTAAACAGAATACACTGTACCTTAACCGAGACATCACAGAGTAAAAGAAACCCACTGAACCTTAACCGAGACATCAAAGAGTAAACATACTACACTGTTCCTTAACCGATACATCACTGAGTAAACAATATACACTCTACCTTAACCGAGACATCACAGAGTAAAAGAAACCCACTGAACCTTAACTGAGACATCACAGAGTAAACAGAATGCACTGTACCTTAACCGAGACATCCCAGAGGAGACAGAATACACTGTACCTTAACTGAGATATCCCAGAGGAAACAGAATACACTGTATCTTAACCAAGACATCACAGAGTAAACAGAATACACTGTACCTTGACCGAGACATCTTAGAGTAAACAGAATACACTGTACCTTAACCGAGACATCCCAGAGTAAACATACTACACTGTACCTTAACCGAGACATCACAGAGTAAAAGATACCCACTGCACCTTAACCGAGACATCACAGAGTAAAAGAAACCCACTGAACCTTAACTGATACATCACAGAGTAAACAGAATACACTGTACCTTAATCGAGACATCACAGAGTAAATAGAATACACTGTACCTTAATCGAGACATCAAAGAGTGAACAAAATACACTCTACCTTAACCGAGGCATCAAAGAGTAAACAGAATACACTGTACCTTAAGCGAGACATCAAAGAGTAAACAGAATACACTGTACCTTAACCGAGAGATCACAGAGTAAACAGAATACACTGTACCTTAACAGAGACATCACAGAGTACACATACACAGTACCTTAACCGAGACATCCCCGAGTAAACAGAATACACTGTACCCTAACTGCGAAATCACAGAGTAAACAGACTACACTGTACCTTAACCGAGACATCACAGAGTAAACAGAATACACTGTACCTTAACCGAGACATCCCCGAGGAAACAGACTACACTGTACCTTGACCGAGACATCCCAGAGGAAACAGAATACACTGTACCTTAACCGAGACATCCCAGAGGAGACAGAATACACTGTACCTTAACCGAGACATCCCCGAGTGAACCGAATACACTGTACCTTAACCGAGACATCACAGAGTAAACAGAATACAATGTACCTTTACCGAGACATTCCAGAGTAAACAGAATACACTGTACCTTAACCGAGACATCACAGAGGACACAGAATACACTGTACTTTAATCCAAACATCACAGAATAAACAGACTACACTGTACTTTAACCGAGACATCCTAGAGTATACAGAATACACTGTACCTTAACCGAGACATCACAGAGTAAAAGAAACCCACTGCATCTTAACCAAGAGATCCCAGAGTAAACAGAATACACTGTACCTTAACCAAGACATCCCAGAGTAAACAGAATACATTGTACCTTAACCGAGACATCCCAGAGGAAACAGACTACACTGTACCTTGACCGAGACATCTTAGAGTAAACAACAATATACACTCTACCTCAACCGAGATATCCCAGAGTTAACAGACTACACTGTACCTTAACCGAGATATCACAGAGTAAAAGAAACCCACTGCATCTTAACCAAGAGCTCCCAGAGTAAACAGAATACACTGTCCCTTAACCGAGACATCACAGAGTAAAGAAACCCACTGAACCTTAACCGAGACATCAAAGAGTGAACATACTACACTGTACCTTAGCCGATACATCACAGAGTAAACAATATACACTCTACCTTAACCAAGACATCACAGAGTAAACAGACTACACTGTACCTTGACCGAGACATCTTAGAGTAAACAGAATACACTGTACCTTAACCGAGATTCCCCCGAGTAAACAGAATACACTGTACCTTAACCGATACATCACAGAGTAAACAGACTACACTGTACCTTAACCGGGACATAACACAGTAAACAGCCTACACTGTACTTTAACCGAGACATCCTAGAGTAAACAGAATACACTTTATCTTAACCGAGACATCACAGAGTAAAAGAAACCCACTGCACCTTAACCGAGACATCACAGAGTAAAAGAAACCCACTGAACCTTAACCGAAACATCCCCGAGTAAACAGACTACACTGTACCTTAACCGAGACATCCAAGAGTAAACAGAATACACTGTACCTTAATCGAGACATCACAGAGTAAACAGAATACACTTTACCTTAACCGAGAAATCACAGAGTAAACAGAATACACTGTACCTTGACCGAGACATCCCAGAGGAAACAGAATACACTGTATCTTAACCAAGACATCACAGAGTAAACAGAATACACTGTACCATAACTGCGACATCACAGAGTAAACAGAATACACAGTACCTTAACCGAGACATCACAGAGTAAAAGAAACCCACTGTACCTTAACCGAGACATCACAGAGTAAAAGAAACCCACTGAACCTTAACCGAGACATCACAGGGTAAACATAATACACTGTACCTTAACCGATACATTCCAGAGTAAACAGAATACACTGTACCTTAACAGAGACATCCAAGAGAAAACAGAATACATTGTACCTTAACCGAGACATCCCAGAGTAAACAGAATACACAGTACCTTAACCGAGACATCACAGAGTAAAGAAACCCACTTAACCTTAACCGAGACATCCCAGAGTTAACAGAATACACTGTACCTTAACCGAGACATCCCAGAGAAAACATTATACACTGTACCTTGACAGAGACATCACAGAGTAAACAGAATACACTGTACCTTTATCGAGTCATCACAGAGTAAATATAATACACTGTACCGTAACCGAGACATCAAAGAATAAACAGAATACACTGTACCTTAACCGAGACATCCCTGAGTAAACAGACTACACTGTACCTTAACCGAGACATCCCAGAGTAAACATACTACACTGTACCTTAACCGAGACATCACAGAGTAAACAATATACACTCTACCTTAACCGAGACATCACAGAGTAAAAGAAACCCACTGCACCTTAACCGAGACATCACAGAGTAAAAGAAACCCACTGAACCTTAACCGAGACATCACAGGGTAAACATAATACACTGTACCTTAACCGATACATTCCAAAGTAAACAGAATACACTGTACCTTAACCGATACATCACAGAGTAAACAATATACACTCTACCTCTTAACCGAGACATCACAGAGTAAACAGAATACAATGTACCTTAACCGAGACATCCCAGAGTAAACAGAATACACTGTACCTTAATCGAGACATCACAGAGTAAACAGAATACACTTTACCTTAACCGAGCAATCACAGAGTAAACAGAATACACTGTACCTTTATCGAGTCATCACAGAGTAAATATAATACACTGTACCTTAACCGAGACATCAAAGAGTAAAAGAAACCCACTGCACCTTAACCGAGACATCACAGAGTAAAAGAAACCCACTGTACCTTAACTGAGACATCACAGAGTAAACAGAATACACTGTACCTTTATCGAGTCATCACAGAGTAAATATAATACACTGTACCTTAACCGAGACATCAAAGAATAAACAGAATACACTGTACCTTAACCGAGGCATCAAAGAGTAAACATAATACACTGTACCTTAACCGAGGCATCAAAGAGTAAACAGAATACACTGTACCTTTACCGAGAGATCACAGAGTAAACAGAATACACTGTACCTTAACCGAGACATCCCAGATGAAACAGAATACACTGTACCTTAACCAATACATCACAGAGTAAAAGAAACCCACGGAACCTTAACCGAGACATCCCAGAGTTAACAGAATACACTGTACCTTAACCGAGACATCACAGAGTGAAAGAAACCCACTGAACATTAACCGAGACATCACAGGGTAAACAGAATACACTGTACCTTAACCGAGTCATCACAGAGTAAAAGAAACTAACTGAACCTTAACCGAGACATCACAGAGTAAACAGAATACACTGTACCTTAACCGAGAGATCACAGAGTAAACAGAATGCACTCTTCCTTAATCGAGACATCACAGAGTAAACAGAATACACTGTACCTTAACCGAGAGATCACAGAGTAAACAGAATGCACTCTTCCTTAATCGAGACACCACAGAGTAAACAGAATACACTGCACCTTAACCGAGACATCCCAGAGTAAACAGAATACACAGTACCTTAACCGAGACATCACAGAGTAAAAGAAATCCACTGAACATTAACCGAGACATCACAGGGTAAACAGAATACACTGTACCTTTACCGAGAGATCACAGAGTAAACAGAATACACTGTACCTTAACCGAGACATCACTGAGTAAAAGAAACCCACTGTACCTTAACCGATACATTCCAGAGTAAACAGAATACACTGTACCTTAACCGAGACATCACAGAGTAAACAGAATACACTGTACCTAAACCGATATATTCCAGAGTAAACAGAATACACAGTACCTTAACCGAGACATCACAGAGTAAAAGAAACCCACTGAACCCTAACCGGGACATCCCAAGGAAAACGAAGTACATTTGACCAAAACCAAGACATCCGCATGGAAACAAAATACATTTGACCTAAACCGAGCCATTCCCAGGTAAACACAATACATTGCCCGAAACCAAGACACCCCAAGGCAAACAGAATACATTGAACCTTAACCAAGCCATCCCCAGACATCAAACAAAATACATTAAAATAAATCATACCAAAAAAACCCCAATCCCCATGTTAACACGCTACATTGTACCTAACCCGAGGCATCCCAGAGTAAATATAATTTATAGTTCCTAAACTGATACTTCACCATGTAAATATGATGCATACGCATAGTTACCCAGTTAAGTTTTGTCATAAATCATTCGTTCAGGTATGATTTTTTTCTCATTTTGACATATTAATGGTGGAAGTTTTAAGCAAGGAAATGTAATTGTTTATGATAGGGCGTAACCTTGTTTAATATGTGTCTTCCAAAGTTGTGCAGTGCTTTCTTTGTATTCTTACGCACGTGAATTCATCAACACGAATTGTTTCCGTATGGTTTATTGTATAAATTGAGACGCTACACCCATTAATCACATCCTGCAGCCAGACGTTATAGTGCATGGGTATCTGTCGCTGAGATCATGCATATCTCTGTTATTTCACTCCTGTGTTTCGGGCTGGTCCTTGGATCCTGCCAGGCCAGAGATACTCGAGAGTTTTTACGAGGTTTGTTAATTGTGAATTGATAAGGCTACTTTTAAATGTACACTATTGTGATATTGTAATTACGCTGACATTTCTTTAATTGTAACACGCATTTTAGATACTCTCTTGGTGGCATTTCTGACGTTTACATACTGTTGGGAACACGGGGATTATTTACGTTTAATTTAACTGTATTTATTTTCATACCAGTGAAAAGAACTAAAAGCTTAGATGAATGCATATGCATACAGGCAGAAGATTTATCAGTTGTGTTTATTTTCGTTATTTTGACTTTTTGAAACAATTAAACGAACTAGTTATGCATATGTATTTATCAGCTACAAGGCTGTTTAAACATTTTTTTTTGTTATTATGTTGAAGTGTATACAGGTAAAATAGAAAATATATTAAAATATAATGTCAAACAATTGTTTTCTTTGAGCTTATGCCGTACAGCGGCATCCGTCATCCGCCCATCAACAATATATTTCAACAATTCCTTTCGTTAACCACTGATTAAGATTTAACCAAATTTGAATGCATGATTCCTAGAGATTCAGAATTGAACAAATGGAAGGGCTGACCCCTCTTGGGCCCTTCGGGGCGGGGCAAAAAAGGGTAATATAGACATATTGCTTTTATCGAAATCTTCGCAGGAACTATTTGATGAAGTTTACCCATATTTATTGGTTGGAACATCCCTAGGTGACAATGATTCAGAATTGTACTGCCCTCAACCTTAAATCCCAACCAAACAAACTTAGTCCCCAAGTCATAACAAAGATACATTTGGAATTTCCATTCTGTCACAAAAAATGCAATAGCTGAATGTGAAGATTTGGATAAACAGATATGCTACTAGGGTTTGCCCCGGAGACTGGTCCTCTCCATGGGATATTATTAGTCAAACTTCTTTTAATGGCAATATTGTCATGATTGCTTAAATATCCAGTGTGAGTCATACAGGCCCTCTGTGCCTCTAATTTATATTAGCGGTAAAGATGCCTTTATCAATTGTGTTTGTTTTGGTCTATAGTTGTAGTCGGTACAAAAATTAAAACGATACTATTCTCTCCTACAAAAGTATTCTTTAAGAAGTTTTTTGTTTTGTTTTTCCATGAACTATTATGAACTGAAAATGTATTTAAACGTACCTAATGTATTACGTTTAAATAAAACATGCATTTGTGAAAAGGGGGCCTAGACTTTATTTCGTTTTGGCCATTTTTAACATGCCTTATAGTATAAAACACAGTAAAGACAATGCACGTCTGCTTTCATTTTCCCGTAAGTCCATACACTTTTGTGAACAGATAGATAAGCTGAAGCATCTGACGCAGCTGACGCAAAAACAAACAACGTTTCATGCCAATATTGTTTTTTCTTCTTTGCAGATTTACAGAGGGAATTACGAGATGAGCTTGCGAAAGAGGAGTTCGAGGAATTCTTGGATGAGCTTCAAAAGCCTGGATCATGCAGCTGTGATACTAACTCCTGTTCCTGTTGTGTCAATATTCATTTGAAGACTGACATGCACGGTAAAGCAATATTGATATTTAATTTATCGCATGTCAAAAACCTATAACACGCAACAATTTATGTTATTATCGCTTTTAGTATTCCTATGAGTATACAAATGTGGATGTATGTTAACTAAATATTTCAAAAGTACGCCATATCTCAAACATATAATGATTTGTGCTATATCACCTGAGTAAAATAACATATAAAGTGTTATACAAAGTCTCCATTATCCAGGTGACACGTTTGTTTGGAATCTGCTAACTTCCCTGTTAATGTCAAAAGAACACCTGTCAAGTGAATCAATGCGCGTGACAGAATGGCCAGGCTGATGAAGGAAGTATCCGCTGTCACTGTTTAAATGCTGGGTCTGGTGAACTATCCTTATCGCCTCTATGCACGTCTTATGAATATGACATAATTTGCTACATGGATATCTGATATTAGCTGGCAGCGTGTCGTGTACCCTTTAAATGACCCCTACTGTAATTGCTAATGTCATTCTGAGGTTGTCATCCCACTTCTGTCTGGTTGAAGAGTCATCGTTATTTTTGATATATTTCTGTGTGCATCACTTGCACTTCATGTTATATATATGTATATGTCCGGCAATATTTGTTTGTCATGGAGAAAGGGTCCTCATGCTGTATAAGCTAAGACCTGATGGTGTTTAATGACTTGTGGTAGCTGTTATTACCCTACATCTATGACACATTGGCGATAGTAAAACGAGATGATTGAAGAGTTGTATGCTATATTAAATTGAAAATAGATTTTGTTTAATTGTAACTTAAACCACTAATCGTCATACTCATGTACTATAGTGAAGGAATCTTCCACGTTCCTATACCAACATTTTGTCGGTTTTGGATACAAGGAAAGTGCTTCTCATAACGTTCCCTTAGATTGTTGATATTTGTGATCCAATGACACATCCTTGCAATTGTTTTTAGGACACCCCCATTGACAATAAACACATTCTAAGAGCCTCATGATTATACTTCGTTATCAAGGGTAGCGTTTGTCTTTAACACATCGGATGAATGCCGATACCGGAACGCTAGTGAAGAGCGCCGAGACATCAGCTTCTGTCCTCAAATGGTGTTCCTTGATTACATTGGCGACATAGTCACTGTTATGTATATGGTGTTTTGTTTTACCGAACAATGCTTTGCTATGCTACCCGGGCTATGCTTGTCTGCTAAGTATCAGGTCACGTGGTGGATGATGCTACCTTTATTCAACACCATTAGTCTAAGAAGGTAGATCTACGAAAGCCTATGACGCGTTTACATACATAGTAAATACCACAAAATCATGACACTTTCAAAACTAAGGAAACCAAATGTACAAAATCCGTTTGTAGAATAAGTTATGTTCCCATTATACTAAACGATGATTTTTTATTTCAGTTTGTGGGGTGGTAGCCTTTGAGGAAAATATAGATGTTAACTTTTCCCTCCAACTCAACGGAGCTGTTGTTTTCACGGTCAAGATCAAAGGTTATTGTCTTTGTCTTTGTCTTATTTATATTTTCCTGCAGCCATAACACGATAAAACAAACTTATTTAAAATAAATGAAAAAGAAATATTTAAATGAAAGAAGTATTTGTTTTAAAAGATTTTTTAAGTATCATAGCGAGGAACTATACTGAAAATAAAAGAGGTACAAACTTATAGATGCAAAAATCAAATTGGAAAAGAAAACAACATATAATGTCTAGCAACAAGTTCATGAAATACTTATTTATCAACTTTTAAAAGTAGGTTCCACCGCCTAACAGTAACAGAATAAGTAGTTGAGATACCAATGACAGTACATCTCATCATTATGAAAACACATCGAACATTTCGTCACAAATATTCTTGATACACGTACATTACACAGTCATTTTTATTATAGGTGTTAAGCCTCCTCCGGTATGTAAGGACATCATGGGTTTCAAGGCGTGCGTCACCTTTGAGAACATCACCATTGATTTAAAGGCTCACACATTTTCCGGATGTGCCTTCTTGAAAATCAGCAAAGGTCCAGTGATTGTGGCTCATCACGAACTCGGCTGCTTTAAACTACCCCCAAAACTGAAGTACCGTTTACCCGACAACCAGACCATCGGATTATAATAGGACTGTCTCACTAAGGCAGTACAATACGAATTCCATCTTCAAACAACGAACAATTACACACCAAAACCAAAATATAAGTTTTTGTAAAGATTTAATCTTTTATGTAAATATTTTGAAAATTGACACTTCCAATTGTGATTCACCTTTAAAAGTAATTAAACTGCAGTGCTATATATTTTGCTGTTTATCTTAATTATTGTGGGTATTGTTATTCAGTTTGCATGGCTATTTGTTTCCCTTTTCGAATCAAGTCCTACAACCTTATATTATAAAGCAGGAACATATCTTATATCTTATAACTAGCTCTATCGAAACTAAATATCGAATTACATCCTGTACATGTGATTTATGATCTTAATATTTCAACCCGCACAGAACAAACAGGAAAAAGAAAATAAGAGTTATCATTGCAAGGAATTCCTCAAGGACATATGCGATATGTGATTCCTTCGTAATGAGCTTCATACATAAACAACACTATGTTGCTTGTAGTGATTCCTCTCTCAACAAACTTTTTTTTTTCTTTATACAAACTAGTAATTAAAAGCATATAACAGGCTAAATCGTAAAAGCATATAATTGCTTGACAATGAAGTTAAGGTAATAGGATTGTGTCACCATTTATCAGTAGTATTTTTCAAAATTTGTAGTTATATTGCTTTGAAATAAAGAAAATGTTCTACCACAAAAAATATCGGTTGTCAGAATGTTAAGGATTTTAAATGGAAATTTATGTAAAAAGGAGTGAATTTTGAAAAAAAATGAAAGACACAATTGTTTGCAAAATAATGTCAATAAAAATGATACTGCCATATATTAGTATTACATTAATGTATATCAATTTAATAAATGCTGAAATTGTATACAATAAATTATCTATAAACGATTAAAAATTGACACTTTATAATAAAACCATATACATATAGTAATTACATGGAATAGTTATCTTCCTTGAAAAACTTCACGGTAGTGAAATAGGTAGCCGGTTTCCTGAAGAACAGACAAATGGACACATGTGACTCATTGATAAATAACAACTGAATTAATACCTGGATTGGTTTGAAATACTTTAATATCGAGAGATCACACTGTTCTGTCAATAATAAACATACAATATTCATCAGTTTAATATTAAACATTAGAATATGCGGAAATTGTGATACTGTCTCCTTATATTGGATTTTCAACTAAGGATGTACTTCCTATTTCCGTTTATCAATACACTCCTAAGACCTTAATTCTGATTTGGTTTTGTAGTGTTTAACATCCTAATTCCAGCAAATATCATTTAAGGACGTGCCTCTATTTTGTTATTAGTGCGTGTATTTTATCTTTCTGCCAGAAGTGGTACGCTCCTTTATTTGCATGTTTTTCCTATTTCAAGTAATGGAATTGTATCATATCTTATCTATGATTAATGGTACACATCACATGCATGCAAGAAAGATAACTTATCTATTGTGCAGACATGAATACATGTACATCTTCTCGTACACTATAATATGTTTGAATAGTCTATTTTATATATAGACAATAACAGGTTACAGTTTTAAATCATGTATTATAACTGGTATAGTTGCTTGTCTATTAAGTCAATGAATAGTATCATATCTGATCTAGGATTCACGGTACACGTAACGTGTATGCTAGAAAGATTACGTATTTATTGTACATGAAATACATCTATATATTTTCGCTTATAATGAAATACCGTAAAGATTATTTTTACCGCGGAAATGATGTTTTCGCGAATTTCGCGGGTCAATGCGGTGGTTGAGAAAATATAATTCGCAGAATAATATGCCAAGCGTAAATATGAATTGCGATAACATACATCATAACATGCATGTCGTCAGGGAATAGCGAGTATGTGGACATGACGATCCATATACACCAAGAGTTATATTAGATGTTTGGAAGTTGATTGTGTGACACATGTAATTTTGGCGAGGAATTTGACAACAAATACACTCACCTGTAGGGAAAATTCACGCAAATTGAATCTCGCGTAAATAACAGTTATACGGTATGTTGAACTTGTTTCATTCAGATTTATCAAATTATTTATCAAATGACAAAAATAAATAATATGTTATGCAAATTAGCTATTTAAATCAGGCAGCTCGTGTTGTAATCATCAAGGATTCGATCTCAAAAAGAAATATTACCTACGGCGAGACGTTTCCAATTAAACAAGCGAAACAGTAACGCGAGCGATCGTCGAATTAACGATAGAAATAATGTCTATTCCGAACCCACATAATTGTATATTATCAGCAGAGATGCTAAACATTAGTTAATTTGAGGATATCTCAGTGTGGGAATAGTGTTTTGATGGTTATCAACATTCATTATAATGTCTGATAAATCGGGTTATGTAAACTGAAATTGTACTTAAAACCAACCGTCGTGACTTTTCTTTATTAATGTGACATGTAATTCGAGTTTAAGTAAAATATGCATTCCTTTCAGTGATATTATTTAATATGGTCTTAAAGATATCACACATATTTTATCCAGCTGAGACAATTTACGATAGCCCGAAGACAAAAACGAGGAAATAAACAAAAGGAAACAGAAAATTTCCAATAACCTCGTACAAACAAGGCGTATTCATAATTCAATAGGTTGATATTCTATTCTTCCTTGTACTTTATATAAATCTGAGCGCATGTTGACCCATATAATGCGAATTATTTCCGTATGGTTCTCGATATATAATGAAAAATTTGAAGAATAAGTTATATCTTGCGGCCAGAAGAAACACTTGAGTAGCTACTGCGCCTGGAATCATGCATACCTCTGTGATTTCACTCCTGTGTTTCGGGCTGGTCCTTGAATCTTGCCTGGCCGGAGATCATGGACAGTTCTTACGAGGTTTGTTGTTCATGAAATGATACAGATTACTAAGACATACTAATTGATACAGTTTTTTTTTATTATCGCTGATATCTCTCTTAACGATCATCGAGCAAATGCATGTTAGGTGCGCTATTGTTGGTTTTGGTTTAAAGGCGTTTAATTACTCTCCGGGACACTAGTTTCCCTGACATCCATTCCTTTTTTTACAATTTTACATGTTAATATAAAAAAAACTAAAACATTTATTAATGTTTTTTTACCTACAGCCGGAAGTTCTTTTTTCTGAGATTTTTTATTTATTTTTTTATCTCTATGATATCTATGCTCTTAATAGTAGAAATATCCCTTCTTGAGCGTTTTTGATTTTATAATAGACACGTTTGTAAAGTTGCTCATTGACACTTCAACTATAATATTTTTGAAAATGTTTTGCTAATGTAAGATTGGGTATATGGAATTCGTTGACGTAAACAATTTATATAATGCTGACTAATTACAGGTATGTTCAGTCTAGTTGAAACGACACAAATACTATTTTTGCTGATTCAGAAGAAATGTTTTTTTCCAATGTTTTCCGATTTTGTTTTCAATGAATAACAATGAAACTGAATATTCGTTGAATATAAACTCACGTACAAAATAAAATTGGATTTTCGCATTCAAAGACTCACTTGTTCTACTACTGCACTTAACAAATAATACATGTCATTTGTTATTCTCCATATACATACATGTATATATAATGTAAGTAATGCAATAAACTATAACAAAAAACACAAAGATACATTCAATGCAAAACCGACCGAAAATTCAATATGGTAATTGATTTCTCATTGCAGATTTACAGAAGAAGCTACGAGATGAGCTTGCGATTGGAGATTTCGACGATTTCATCGATGAGCTTCAAAAGGCTGAATCCTGCAATTCTGCGAATAACTCTTCTACCTGTTGTGTTAAATTTCGTTTGTCACAGGACATGAATGGTACATCAATATTATCTTTTTTGTTAAACGCTTACTTAAACATGATCAAATTTGTTATATGTAAATTGGGTAAAACATTGAGTAAGTGAGGAGAGTGAAAACAGTAGTCGTAAAAAGTGTCCCACATATTGTTTTCTTTCTTTATAATTTGTAGAAAAGCTGTTTTTCTCTTACGGATGTAGTCAATGTAACTGTCTTCAAACTGTTTTTGTTTTTAATCTGCAATTTCTCTTTGCCCAACATCATCTTTCTTGTTGGTTGTTTAGTTCTTAAAACGCTTCCACTTCCTCGCTTTATATGTTGGGGTTGGCACAGGAAGGGTGGGGATCGGGAAAGGGGGTTGTTAGCTTAATACTAAGACTGCTGTTGATTGCGATTCATGTATATGTTGTATTGTTTTTCTTTAGTCTTTGACTAGTAACGTAATTTAATTCTTATTTTTTAAAGAAAATAACAACTCAATCTGCGTCACACATGGCTTCATTGTAAAAATGTTTGACCTTTGCTTTCAGTTTGTGGAATCGCATCATTCGAGGAGGATACGTGTGTTAACTTTAGAGTCACACTAAACGGGAATGTTATAATGGCAGACAAGATAAAAGGTAAGTGACAGTAATCATTTCCACGCTTTGAATTCTTATGGTTCGTTATAATTTATCTTAATGCATGTTTCCTCCTAAGATAAAATCACATATCCAAAGTGGTTTACTTGATGTTATCGGTAATAGCTTACACATTCACTGTCAATATGTAGCATAAAGTGGTTTTTTTATAAGATTAAGACTTGTGATTTTATCTGACGACGTAAATAAAATTCCTGACATGCCTGAATGTTGCAATATACATACATTTATATGAATGACTGTAAAAATAATAAAGTGAGAAAAAGGACATCTTTTACTTCAATGCGTAGAGTTTTTACAGTTGTTTTTTCTTGGATTTGATATAATGTAGCTACATAGTGAAATGGACCATTTTCCCCTTTTCTTTCTTTATTTACAGTGTATTTTAAGAAGAATATTACGTATTGTCAAAACGTCAAACAGAAGAGAGATGCACACTGACTTTCTTGTATGAACAAGTTAAACTGATTTTTCTGTATCATTTTATACTATTAAGATTGTTTGTTTGTTTTCTCAGGAATTTTATGAAAATTAATTAATATGTTTATTTTTTTAGGGTTCAAGTGTTAGTGTATATCATGTGTCTGGGACCACGTTAAATGTGTTGTTTTTTGCACTGATCCTTGGCAACAATCTTTTTTGTTTAAGGCGCTGATCCTCCCCCGATTTGCAAGGGTTTCCAGCAGGGTTACAATGCATGCGTCCTCTTTGAGAAAGTTACCGTTGATTTGAAAGGTCACACATTTTCCGGATGTGCAAGTATACAACTCAAGAAGGAGTCAAAGTTCGTAAAACGGTTCCAACTCGGGTGCTTTGAACTATCTCCGAAATGGAAATACCGCTTATTGGAAAACAAAAGCATCGGAACATCCTAGTGAGGAAACTGAACATACGATTACCAATTCTAAATACCCAATACTGAAAGACCAGAACCAAACTTTTTCGTTTGTTTGATTTAAAAAAATATGTATATCTTTCATGTTAAATGGCACATCAAACTCTGGTTTACCTGATCAATAAATAAAACTACATAATGATATGTAATTGTGTTTTGCATTATTATTGAAAAGGTTATTTAGAATTGCTATTATTTCCTCTTTCCAATCTGAAATGCAGTTACTGTTGACCAGTAAAAGGAAATCAAATATTGTAAGTAAAATAATAGAAACTACATATGACATTATTTCCTAACCTTAGTTTTTTTTCAATTTTAACTGAACAAACAGAAAAAGAATGAATATTACAAAAACTTCCTTAATGACTAATTGTATGATTTAAGAACGTAACACACACAAACGTGATTGTACTTTTAATTATTTTGTAAACGATACAGTGTGCCCAGGAATAGAATAAATTACACTATATCGTATACAGTTGTACGATCTGTGCTATATTTGTCCTTTTAAAAGGGTCTCATGCATAAACAGTAGAGCTTTCTCCCATTAACGGTAATTTTGTTTCCAATTAAGCTAAAATCACTTATGAGATCTTATTTCATTTGCGGGCACAGTTATGTTCTTCAATGTCTTTGGTTTGTTGTTGTCATTTTCAAGCTTTCAAAATACTTTAATATAAATGAATGCTTTTCTGTATTAAAACTGGTTCAAGGATACTGTAGGCTTGTTCACTGTAAACGGTGCTGAGAGTAGTTTTCCTGAGTAGTGAAGACATCATATTCGAAGGTAGGCAATAGGTAGTACAGCAATGATCATCCAGAGTAAGTGATGAAGGTTAATATACATGTATAATAAATAAGTGATGGGCAGTGCAGATATCATAATCCATAAGTAAGTAATATGAAGTACAGCTAACATAATCAACTGTAAATGATGGGTAGTGATGACAATTGTTCGCAGTTAGTGATAGATATTGACGCTGTACTTATCAACGGAAAATACATACATACAATGATATGATATATCACGGAAATTGATGAATGTACTCTTTCTGATAAAGCAGTGTATGAATGTGTGGTATAGCTTAAAACTACACAGGTAAAATCAAGTAAAATGAAAAACACGAATACAACAAGTGAATACCGAGATGTCGTCAAAACCTCAACTCGAACACAAAGTCGACAACACAAGGACAAAGTATGGACAAAAGCAATAGATAAATGAAGACCCCTGACAAAGTACAAGGGGAATAATCCCAGGTGTTCCGAAAGGGTAACCGTCTGCAAAGCAATGTCCTTATATATTCATGCATTGTTACAGTACGTTGTCCGAATACCCACTGTTATCTAAACCATTTATCCATGCAAAATGTCCAACAATATGTCCTCGCTTTTACGGGTATCAATTTTCACCACATAGTGATAAAACTAATAGCGCTAGTTAATACAGGACGAAAACTGAACTGCTAAGGCTGAAACATGACAGAAACTATATTGCAAAAAGTGGGTAAAGACGAAAATTGTAATGCTATGGTTGATACATGACGAATATTGTATAGCTATGACTATCAAGGTGTCGTAATATCAATGGAAAAAATATAACAGACAGAAACCATAAGTGTTTAAAGTGTTTATTTTCATTTATGCATTAGCATTACTTCATTTTAATTCAAATCAATTTTGTCGACCAAATTTGTTATATATACAGAGGTGTCACTGTGAAATGACAGAAGTAGATGATCCAGCAGACATCCGTCGTGTTCAATTTTGAATTAATTTCAAGTTAAACTTACTAGTTTATAGTTTTTTTGTGTCTCTTTACTCGCAGTGCAGAATGGCATAGCTATACAAATTTTACAGGCAATACAATGCGATGTAATTAACCTCAAGAATCTCCATACCACTGCCAAAACCTGTAACTAAATGTTAGAAATTGTATCAAATTGTAGAAAAATAAACCTTACCGGACTTTCATGAGAAATCATACAAACAATGAAATTAACAAAATATAATCAACAATAGAGCTGTGCGAATCCTAGATTTCGGATTGTTATCTTACTATTCTAACGGACTGAGCTAATTGGTCAACGAATGTTTTTCTGGTCAAACGTTTTCTACAGTTTTTCGAATTGCAAAGGAATGGGAGGTTACTGTACGTAGGGATAACAACAGTGCAGTGAGACAGGAGTCATTTAATGTATTACATTTGCGGAAGATAACATAAGGGAGGTAACACAATCCAGTAGTTTTTGCAAGCATTTAAAACAATGATGCTATCAGGAAATTTTCGAAAAATGGGGAAACAAACTGAAAAAACTCCATACTTGGCCTCAAAACAATCACAAACTAGAAAAAAACGTGTAAACAATACAATGCGATATGAATGAAATTAATTTTGAAAAAGCAAAATACGGCAGGTCTACAGAGACAACTATCACTATGGCATACATTTTAACATTAATAGTGTATTAAATGAAGTATATGTAATTCGTTGTGCATGTTTGTTTTCAACAAGACGGTTTGTCGCATTACTACAACACATAAGGAACATGAATTTGACGGAATAATGTTTAAAAATTCAAAATAAATATTAATTTCAACATTTGTTGATGTGTATATCTCTCGTAAAATAATGATTTCAAATGATACTTTTCAACTGTGTTAAAGCTTGTCCTGTTCAAAACAATTGTGCTTTATTTGATTATTGATACAATCGAGTATTTTCATAAATTCATTTCTGGGCACCTATCACATTTTTTAATCATCAATAAATCACCTTAATTTAAATGACAAAAACCGTTACAGCTCTTAATATTAAATAAGTGTACAAAATAAAAGTTTAATTGACGCTACATATAATTATTTATCGATATAATTAATCAGGTTATTTGCAAGAAATGTTTGCGAAAGTAATGAAACAAACCAAGTTTAACTTTATCGAATAAAATGTGTATGTATACATTGATGCTAGTAACTGTTCAATGTAGTGTATTTATCAGATCAAAAGAATACAATGAGGACGAATTGATTACACGGTACTCATATAAGTGGTATATATGTACAATGATTCGTGTTGGGAAGGTGAATGCTCTGGGATTCTGTTTTTATGGATTGGTAGGCATGCCACAGACGGCTTACAAAGCGTGGAAACAAAAAACAGAAACAAGCAAGCAAAGAGGCGTCAATTGATTGAATTGATATTGCGTCGCCGCTCCCCGCACAAATAAAAAAATATATATTAGAAAGTTAATTATTTTGATTCCAATGTCAAATACATTGTTAGTTTAATTTGTATCATATATGAGATAATGGATAAGCGACATTATTACGTAGACGTCAAGACTATGTAGCAGTTCCCCCGATGAGATCTTACACAATGTTGATATATATATATAACAACTTTGTGGCATGGAAATGCGTTTGCGTTTGTTTATTGCGATTATGAAGAGGTTTACGCTTTGTAACCAGTTAATTCTTCAATTCATAAGAATACTAGCATCACACAAAGTCCTGTAAGAGTATCTGTTATTTACTCTTCATGCTATTCCTCATTTACATTGGCTGTATTTCTATTTTCTTTTTATATTAGTGACTATGTACTTATTTGTCTAATCTTGTTAGGTAAACAAAGTTGGTTGAGGTCCTGAGCTACTTTGTATACGAAACCACCATAAACACGTTGTATACGTTTTGTATCAGGTGTATACTATATCAATAGCGCTAGCACGAATTTGCACAATTGCAATTATTCGGGAAATTAGGCCCTCAACACCTTTCTGGTAAGATGGATAGGAAACACATACCACTAAACAATGAATGTGTTTTTACCAAAACAATTATGAAATATTTAACATTCTCACTTCCAAGTATGAGTACATGTTGTAACTGTCTCAACATTTTGGAATAGATAAAAGATCAGATATGTTCTAATGTTTCATAATTTTCTGCAAACACCCTAATACATTTTACGGCTTTATCCTTTCGAATTATCAGGGCAGAACATGTTCATGATATCTAGATACACTGTATATAATTGGACCACCTGATTAGTATATGGATACGTTCATTATTTACCTATCAAGTACATCAATTTGGAGCGGAGGTGATCTTCATCGTTTGATATTTAGCAAATGATGATAGCATGATGTCTCACATAGGAAGAGGTAGTGGAACGAAAACATTGTGCGTCACAAACATTTCTGGTCACAAACGTTGGCTGTTTCAAAATTTTGTTGAGTCGTCCTTCTTTCCAGATTCGTCTGGATGGGAGAAGGTACTGTTAATATAGCCATGCTCGTATGAGGGCTCTAGTCCTCCATTTTGCAGATCAGGTGCAGAAGGTACAGTGTTTGTTTGGCTGTAGTTACCATTTGCATATCCGCGAGGCTCGCCGGGTTCGTATGATATGACTTTGCCTTTTGGTCTATATAAACCGCCTTCGACATCCATATCGATGACAGGGGTAACTTCGACTGTTTGAGAATATCTCGGGCCGGTTCTGTTTTCAGGAAGCGCTGGACCCCATGCTCTGGTTGGGGTATTTACTCGTTTACAGAGCTTGAAAATACAGAAAAAATAATACCTATATTTTGAACGTCTATAAAGTACTTAAATGTTTTACATCAGTGAGGAATTTGAACTCTTTTGTATAGTTTCGAGTGCTTTAAATTTTACATTATTTACATTTTCTTCATGTAAGATATACAGTTTGTATGTCGGTCATTATAACCCAGAAAATTGAATAGAAACTATTAGATACAAATCTTAACAAAATAGATATCAACTCGACAGAATTAATCATATTCATGTTTGTTGTTGACTGCAATCATGAAAACAAATCGTGAAAATTGAAAACAAGATTCCCTCTTCGATAACACATCACCGAAAAATAACATTTTGTGAAAAATTTGGCAAAACTACATCTGTAAAATTCATAAAATTTAAAATGATCAACGTCAGACAAATGTTATATTAGAATAATTTTATTTTGGCTATTCCCCCAATGGTAGATTTTTTCATGTAACAGTGTATATCATATATCCACAGACAACACACAACGAGATGATGTCGTATACCGCAATGTTTTGTGCGGTATTTGTAATTCTACGTTCTGATTGGTTGAAGTTCCTTGGCGATGATATTACTGCGCAATATTGTTTTGAGCAACATTATTTTGTTTTTATAAGAAAAAGAATATATGCACTAACTGTGAAATAAACAAAGTATGATTGTCTTAATCAAACTATAAGGGATAACAATAATTATTGTTGAGGTTAAATGGTATATCTATTTCTGATAAGAACAAATACATTTTTCACAAAACGAACTTTTGTGCATAAAACGCTTCGCGGATTCATGCAAAGTGCACAGAGCTTTTTTTCGGTATCTACCTTATAACCCCAAAGTCAATCCAGTTTATTTCTTAAATATTGTCACTTCCACTGGAGATATTCTAAAAATAATTCATTTTAATTCTGATCGACTTCTTTCTTCAGAAAACACTCACCGTGAATAGCCCATTCTTGCACATGTAGATGATGTACCAGATAGGCATAAAACATAGAGCGCCTGCTACAATCAACCAGCCAATCGCCTGAGCCCAGTCTGGGTACACGTATCCGTCAGACACAAATTTCTCGTAGTCGATACACTTCGCTACTATAACAGCCTGGGAAACATTAACAGTCGTCAAATGTTATGATATTTTTTTCATCCAAATCAACATGTCAATTTTGAGTATACATTCAAAAGCATTTTGGTGAACCGCTATTATAACAGCAAACATTTTACTATGGTAACGTGAACAATAAATTTATTTTATTATTTGTTTATTTTGCTTTTTATTCATATTTCTGAAATGGATGTAAAATTATAAAAATAAACGGTCCATTGTATATATAATATAGCAACATAATACTTCTTAAGTAATTAATGACGTAGAATGACCACATACGGCGTCCTCATTTAGTCAACACGGACACCTAATAAAAGTAATAAATCATCTTTTCAACTTACCGCCAAACAAATAGGGGAAACAAAACACCACATGATTCCAAAGAACAAAAAGCTTATCGTGATACAAGTGTTTTGCCCAAGCATCATTTCAATATCCTGTTTGAAATTCCAAAATCCTGAAACAAGTAAAAAGTGATGTTAGTTTCAAGATATGAATTATTTACAAAATTACCACATATTTGGATTTCACTGAAGATGAGAGCATTTTTATTTAAGATACTTCGTTATTGATGCATGTTTGATTGGAGGCAAAAACTGAAAATAAACTTAAATGTCACGCAAAAGAAAAGAAATATTTTGTTAAAAGCACGATGTGACATGTACATGTAAGTATGGTTCTATGTTGACCACGTTTTGTAGCTGTTATAAAAGAAATCGGGATCAAATTTTAAGCATAATATTCAGTACCGATACCATATTCCCCACGAATAAATCCGGCTATACGAATACGGTTAAAGAAAGCAATATTAGCTCTGTATTTAACTTTCAATTTTATCAACTTTGACAGTAATAGAGGTTTATTATATTTGTACGGAGGAAACATGGACATTACCCCTAATCATGTTCTCCATAAGCGGAAAAAAAATATGAATCATGGGAGTTTATTAAAGGTCATTTGTTTACTGAGGTATCTCCTCACGTTTTGATGTTTTCCCAGTTCCTTGTAAGGAGGACGTACAACGTAAAGATCAATGATATTGTCTAAAAACATTAAATTGCTATTGTGATAGTAACATCCCTTTGAAAACGTTACACTTATATCTGGAAAGCACTGAATTCACTAGGAAAGTGTTGAGTTTAACAAATGTCAAGGTAATACACTTACCGTAAATGTCAAGGTAATACACTTACCGTAAATGAAGTTGATGGCAATGAGCTCAGCAAGTCCGATGAATAACATAGGAAACCCACTGATGAAATGGTCTGTCATCTCAAACATGTAGTAGCCTCCCTGCAAACACAACGAATTGTTATTCTGTTTGCCCAAACACGGTCAAATATAGTTACATTAAGTTTTCCTATCCCTTGTTTGTGTTCTTTTTTGTGCGTATTGCTCTCTAGGATTAAATAAAAAATTGTAGCTTGAAATCAATAGTAAACCGTTCAGTAATTACCTCTGTGACCATGGGCAGTCCGAGCAAAAATCCAGTGAGGCATATCAAAAACCGGAAACCAATCTTTCGCCATTTTGTGTTTAAGATATTGCTAAACTGATCCATGAGACCGGTAATGACAGCTTCCACAATAGAAAACTGTAAACAATAGCAATCAGAATATTTAAACCAGTGTCAACATAAAAGGAAGAAGTCGGAAATCAGTTCTATTACATATACCGCGGAGACACAAGATCAATAGGAAATAAATCATGGCGGCACACAACAAAAACAGAACTGAAGATGTAGTAAGAGAATTGGAAGTAGGTTTTTTTTTTTTTTTGTATGAACTTTTTATATTTCGGTATTGGATTGGCCATTAAAGAGATGCGGCATTGTTCATTATGAAGTTGATTATGTATGACATACTTCAATAAGAAATCGTATTTCTTAAATGTCTAGGGAATTTACCTGAGAACTGAAGCCAAGAGTCATCATCATGAAGAAGAAGAGGATGGCCCATAATGTAGGAACTGGCATCTGTGAGAGGCCTTCTGGGTACACAATGAATACTAGACCTGGACCTTAAAACAGTAATACAATTATTGGTGAAATGAAGAAAGCTGCAGATGGTAATCGGTAATGCTTTAATGTATTGATATAGAGTAAGAATTTAAAATACCAAGTCGTTTCAATGGTCTCTATTCATGAAATAGTTGTTTATATTGCAGTGATAATTTCTATGAGAAATTTGAAGAGACTAAGGGTCATATGCAGTTTTCCTTTTTCTATACGTCAATTTAACTATTCAACATGATTCAGGCAAGCTACAAAATGGTTTGTTTGATCACAAATCACTTGCTTGAGCATGTGAATGGATTCATGAACGCAGGCCCATATACATGTAGCAATTACAACTGTATGCCCACTCAGGCAATATGGAAACTGTTAAAACTTTTCTACACAGTAGTATATATTGCTAAAATTCACTGCAAGATTGTATTTAAACCGTGTCTTTTTGAAAGGTTTGAACTGCTACAGAAGGTTGTGCATGCTTTATAAATGTCATCATCAGGTAGTACCTGAATATTTATCAAATAGTGTGTCTCTAGTGCGAGATGGTCACTGTAGGAATACAAGATTTGCTATTGAAAATAATTATAATGTACCAAAACACAGAACTGTTTTATCATTCCAGACACTTTTTTATTAACAGTATTAACGACTGGAATGTTTTACCCAGTGACCTAAAGAAAATAAACAATTTTACCACTTTCAAACGAAAACTTACTAAATACTGTATAGCAATGTCTTAGATTTTAACTTGTTTCTCCATGTAACCAAAACTTGTTACTTTCTAAATAGACTTCTTATCTAAATTATATTAATATTTTAGATTATAGTATATTAGCTTATAACTATATCAATTTTTATTGTTTGCTATATTAGCATGTATGTATATTAGGTACATGCCATTTAATTGATGAAATACCTTTGCATGAAACTTTATGCATTCGGTGATACTCTTAACTAAAATAACTGTGATATAACCTTATATATGTCGATTGCATCAATATATATGTAACTTTTAACTAGCACATGTTTTATTAGCAAGATTACCATGTTTACTTATATATCGATTGCGTAAAAATGTTATTTTATCAACCTATGTATTTTACTAACAAGAGGACCATGTGGAAGATAAGCCTTTGGCTAAACTTGTATTTTATCCTCGATAAATAAAGTTTATTATTAGTATTATTATAACTGCTGCCAGTTCCGTTAAGTTTAATGGAAACAACTAAAACTAATATTTTAAAACAAATAATGCTTCACCGCTTAAATGTCTTATCAAACATTGTGGCTGATTATTTCATTTGGAAGACTCTTTCCCATGATACTTTTGGGGCTTCAATTCAGACAAACATGTGTGAGAAATTATAAACTTACCACCGGTAGCGACATCTTCCACAGACACACCCTTCGAGTATGCCATGAATCCAAGTACGGAAAAAATGGCAAACCCGGCGTAAAAACTGGTTAAACAGTTGATTACCGGCACGAGCAAAGCATCCCTGTAATGAATAGCTTAATTAGGACAAGACTGCTACAGTTTTTTCTTACGTCGAACTAAATTGTCTAAATTAATGTTTATATGTACAAATATTTATATGATTTATCTTTTTACAGAATCCTTTGAAACATATGTTAACATTATTATGTAATCGACAAAATTGATGTTTTATTCTACGAGTATGCGACATACCTATTGAATTGATCTATTGGAAACATTTCTTACTACTTTCAATTTTAAGTATATGTTCCAGTTGATTTTTAGCAACATATTAAAACATATCAGGATTTGAAATATGAAATTTTCACCAACATGATTAGAATCCGAAACATCCAGAAAAAAACAGTTCAATGTTTTTATAAAAAAGGTAATTTGGGTGTTTCGTGTTCACATCTACCCAAATGTCAACTACCCTTTTCACCTAGATATATCTCCCCTTCACACAAGATTACAAAGTTTCAATCCAAACGTAATTTACTACAACTTAAAGTATATCATATAGCATCTGAAAATATTCATGCATTCAGCTTTTCTTGTAATTTAAACTCACGAAAAGTATAAGAATGATAAAATTCGCGAACATCAGTGGGAAATCATCAGAGAACTTCTAAACTTCTTTCCGTCAACACACTGTTTTGCCTTACTTTAAGTCGTTTTGTTTATTGACTTACTGTTAATAAAAGAAACCCAATAACACGGTAAAACTAACCTTAAGGTAAGATTTGTGAACTTATTGTAACTGGCCATAGCTATAAGTCCTCCCTGACATGCGCTGAGTGAGAAGAAGATCTGTGTGGCAGCGTCACTCCATACCTTGAATGAACAGAATTGAAAGCGATGAAACTTATAATTCGTACATAAAAACACAAATCGCATACTTTTATTTGATTCAATGTGTTTCTTTGCGTTAATGTTCACCAACAACTGCTAAAGTAAATGATTTATCTTTTTTTTGAAAAATGAACGTAGCACAAACACAAGCAGACTGCATCTTTAAAATCTAGTAATCGATACAATTTGCAAAATGTGAATTTCACTGATCATACAAACAGTCCTTCAAAAATCCACAGTAATTTAGAAAGCAGGTTAGAAAACAAAACAACAAAATGCTTCAACGCAGGAATAGGGATTGCTTGTTTACCATACGATGTGCAATTTTGACTAACTATATTTATACATATACATACATATATATCAATTTAATTTGTTACTTACTTTAGAGTAGATAGCATTAACTTAATTCAGGGAAACAATTTTAAGTGAATCAGTGACGATAATGTGAAATATTTATTTGTCAAAAATGATTACAATCATTTCAAAGATGCAAATTCTAAAAACCGAAATAGCGTTGCACTCAAATTAATTTTCCTAGTCAAAATAAAGAATTCCTTCTATATTTGGAGATAATGGTGTAATCCAAAAATAAGTTTACGCATCAACGAATTCATCTCAGTTTTAGAACTGGAACTCTCTCATTCAGAAACAATATCTCATCTACTTGAACCCACACAAGTGTTGGCGACTTTGTCCAAGATTAAGTAATGAAACGTTTTCTTTGATAATCGACATCACATCTACTATAACCCACATTAGCGTCGGTGACGTTTTCCCTGATTAAGAAATGGAACGTTCTCTTTGATAATCGACATGACAGCTACTAGAACCCACATCAAGAAATGGAACGTTCTCTTTTATAATCGACATGACATCTACAATAACTCACATTAGCGTCGGTGACGTTTTCCCTGATCAAGAAATGGAACGTTCTCTTTGAAAATCGACATGACAGCTACAATAACTCACATTAGCGTCGGTGACGTTTTCCCTGATCAAGAAATGGAACGTTCTCTTTTATAATCGACATGACATCTACAATAACTCACATTAGCGTTTGCGACTTTGTCCCAGTCGGGTGTAATGTAGAACATGATCCCGTCGTAGTAGCCATCAAGTGTGAGTCCACGGACTAGAAGGACCGTCAGCAGTACATACGGAAAGATGGCCGAGAAATATACCACCTACAAAAGCACAACACAAAGGCACTGGATATTATTTAGTATGCAAAACTATTATATAAATAGTGTACTTAACGAGATCGATATATCATGTTTACTCAAAAAGGTATTAAAAAAACCCGTGCAAATTCGGGGAAAGAATAGGCCTGCTTTATCACACTGCATGATTGTAAGCGGCGACTAATATAGGCTCCATTCATGATAGGGGTTTTTCCTCCGGTTCTTTTCCGAAGGGAATATGGAAAAACACAAAATTGATCTGCTGCCCCCATTGCATCACTTTTTTTCGTTTCCTATCTTTCCTGTCTTATTCCTTTTCTTTCTACTTTTAACTCAGGCGGTGTCTCCCTAGGCAACCGTCCTTATATGAACCAGGCTTTTGCGAATACCTTAGGACCAAGACAAAGAAACAAGTATTAAATAATGATTTTTTAACGAATTTGTAAGTTCAAAGAAGTCGTTTGTAGCTCATTTGCGAAAATGAAGTTTCTTAGGGTAATTACATTGTATAATAGCTGTGAAATACTGTAACCCTGCAGTAAGCATATGTGATTATCACTCGAAATCTGAAGTTAGGATATATTTAAAAAAAAAAGTTTATCTAAAACAAACAATGGTTAACATTTAAGTAATTTAATGTAATTGAAGTAAAAAATACAAAATGTATTATAATAAGAATACGTACAGTATTTTCATTTTATTAACTGATTTACTCTTAATGTAAAAACAGTTACATGGTATCAATAAAATTGTCTAAACCAATGTGAATACAGGAAATTCCATATTAATGATCGTCTTGAATTTCAACATTATATACTGCATGTAACAACAAAGATATGAAGACAATGCCAATAATAACAGGATCAAGAAAATGTTGATAACTATAAAATAACATCTAAGTTATTAACACCATCAAATATTTTCGAAAGAATAGATTCCATAATGTTAAAGGTGATCTGGCATTGATTGGAAATTGAATTAATGATTGAATTACTAGAAGAGGTACACGTAATTACTCGCCAAGGGAATGAACACATTTACATGATACATGTAGGAAGAAGAAATCTTACCTTTCCCAGAGACTGGATACCTTTTGACAGGACTAGGAAGACAATAAACCATCCCAATAGGTTACAAAGCATGACATCCCATTTCACGTTTCCCGGCTCACCAATTCCGCCTGACCTTCCTAAAACCTTCTCGCTGTTCCGAAAAAGTAACGAATACTCAATAAATCAACTCGATCACTTCTTTTTTGAAATTCGTTTTAATTAGCCTTTTTTCCCCATATTACTAACATGTGTATTATTATTTTTATTCAGTTTTCCAGGTATGCAAAACATTGATTGATCTATTAACTATGTGTAATACTGTTATTTTATATACCGGTATGCCTAACGGTTACAATGAGGAATTATAAGAAGAAAATTTAAGTATTATTTAAATGTATGTTATTAGACATGCGCAACGCAAACACGACATATCTGTGTAGTACCTTCATCTTTCCAAATAAAAGGCAGTACACTCTGCTGGTGGTATTTCTAGTCCCTAAAGTTTCCCGTAACCTTAATGGCCACAGTAATCTCCTTTTTAAGGAGTTGCGCGGTTCCTAATTTGCACACTTTACTAATGATTTAATTCAATTAGAACTGCCCCTCTTTTTATACAGTCAATGATACAATCTGGAATTTTAACGATTTGGCCCCTAGCATGATTGATGAGTCAAATAAGGACAAACGAGTTGCATGGTGCAATGAAATTCATATTTGGCATAATCTATCTTTAACAATTTTTTTTTAACGTGCATCTTTGTTTGACTGATACTTACGGCTTTTTGAAGTCTTTTAACATCACATTTTGGTTTCAATAGACTGCGATATTAGGCAAAGATAGCATTTGCTCTTACCCTGGACATGTGTATCCGCACTTTTACCGGTGCGGGATTTCCTTATCTCACCCTAGGGTTGAGACTGCGGGGTTTGCCCTATTCATAACAATGGTATGACGTCACCGCAACAATACAATGACGTCACGTCAACAATCCCTCAACGACACGTCAACCCTGAACTTAGCATGTAACGTTGTCATTACATTGTGTATATGATACACAATGGGAGAACAGGGTAAGAGAAAAAGAATCATTCACCCCCTTGTGGGTAAGATAGAGGAAGCTAAACAATCGGGGAAAGATTCTATAAGTTGCCAAACACTCGGCACAGCCTCGTGTTTGGCAACTGAAGAATGTTCCCCCTCGGGTTGAAATTCCCCTATCTCACCCCAAAGGGAGTGAGAAATTATATTAGTCTTTTGTAGTCACATACTGCTGGAATATTTTCTATACCATTCGGTCTTAAGTTGCTATTGCTATAAGAACCATGAGGTGATATTTAGTATAACAAATTGGACAGATTTAACAAATGTTTAATGATCATACAAGGGAAATTGCAATCACTATAGATGAACTTCTATATAATAGACATCAGACATACGTATGGTCAGGGTCAATCAGTCATACGTATGGTCAGAGTCAATCAGACATACGTATAGTCAGGGTCAATCAGTCATACCTATAGTCAGGATCAATCAGACATACGTATGGTCAGGGTCAATCAGACATACGTATGGTCAGGGTAAATCAGATATACGTATGGTCAGGGTCAATCAGACATACGTATGGTCAAGGTCAAACAGTCATACGTATGGTCAGGGTCAATCAGTAATACGTATAGTCAGGGTCAATCAGTCATACGTATGGTCAGGGTCAATCAGACATACGTATGGTCAGGGTCAATCAGACATACGTATGGTCAGGGTCAATCAGACATACGTATGGTCAGGGTCAATCAGACATACGTATGGTCAGGGTCAATCAGACATACGTATGGTCAGGGTCAATCAGACATACGTATGGTCAGGGTCAATCAGACATACGTATGGTCAGGGTCAATCAGACATACGTATGGTCAGGGTCAATCAGACATACGTATGGTCAGAGTCAATCAGTCATACACTCTAGCAATATCAAGGTCAAATATGGTAAGGAAACAAATATGTAGCACATTATTTTATAAATATCAGATATAACGTTAAGACACTTGGACTTTTCCAGAAACGATACTCACAAGAAGTACTCTTCACTTGCACTGGTCGTCGTATTGCTTGTATAGTTTACTGAATATAAACAAAACAAATAATATATATATATATATATATATAAGAAGGCTTTTTAACATTGATGTAAATGTATTACATACGCATAAGTTTTATTGTATATTTTCTAATCAAATAGAACACGAGTTAAGCTACAGATGTATACTGCATATCTACTTCGGTCGAACTCAAGACTGCGTCTGCCTTGGTCAATAGGTATATAACTTATCTAAAAGTAATCAAGACAATTCATATAAATAGAAAAACGTTACATAATATTTTTGCAGACACATGACACTATATGTTAAAAGCGAGGGTTCCTGTATCATCGTAATACAACTGCATTTTTTTTACAGTTGCCAAGATAAAAAGCTTTTCTTTTTGGGGGATGGGGGTGGGGTGGGTGGGGGTGGAGGTGGGGGTGGGACTTGTTCATTAAGGGATGTTAAGTGGTGAGTAACCTGCTTTGTTAGGAAACCTTAATACGTTGTAAATTCAATTCGTTCAATATCAAATATATTTCGAGATTTTATGACTGGTGAAATATGAAGAAAAAAATTCATAATGAACCACTTAGTATCCAGATTATACACGACTTGAACATTAAGTAAACTTCACTTACAACACTCTGGCCTTGATCCTTGCCAGGGGTCTGCCAAGGACATATTTAGGGTGCTATCGTGACAGTCACACGTGTTCCAGCTATTGTCACATGTAACCCACGGAAGTGCCGACGTCATCGATGCAAAGAAGTAGTAGATGCAATACGCGATGACGACGTTGTAATAAATTGAGATCATGGCGGGAATGATGACCAAACACATACCAAGACCTGTAATAGTAAAAAAACTAATATTGATCAATTATGATTTTTAGGTGAATATGTTGTTATATAAAACGGAGAGATATACTGATCGAGACGATATAATGTGATATCAGAATTTAACTATGTCCGCTATTTATCATTAAACAAGATAGAACCTATGAAACTCAATAAATGAGTACTACAATTGGCAAAGAGTTTTGTGATATTGAAATGACGAAAAAAAGAGAAAATTAACCCGCCGTTTTTTAAACCAGTAACAACCAGTCAATATCTTATAGCAACCAATGAGCAAGTAGGAAAATGATGTTATATATTACCAGGTTGAAGAAAAGGTAAAACTAACACTGTTGACATACACTGGCGTAGTAAAACCATTCATGAGTTAGTTGTGGGGAAATCTGTTTTAAATATGGGTTTTGTTATACAAAATCAAATAGTTTAATTGAAAAAATCGAATTTCAATTATGTCTGATACCATATTCTACGTTTACCTGTTCCATTAACATTGTTGATGACAGAAAGCGTAAAAAATGGTATTATTGCAGTTAAATAAATTTCCATAAGAGTGATTCCAAGTCGATGAAGTTTAAAATACTTATGTTGGTAAATCCCTCTGTACATTGAAGCACTTTTTACATTTTCTAAATAGTGAAGAGAAAGTATGAATCGCAATCTTCGTGCAATTTAGGCGACAGATAGAAGCATCTGGATACTTTTACACCTCTACAAACCTTTGAGTGCAGGATTGATGGTCCATACTTTTAAGGGTCCAAGACTTGCAAACTGTCCTAAGCTTAGCTCGAGGTAAAATATAGGAATTCCAACCAATAGGAGGCAGATGACATATGGAATCAGAAAGGCACCTGTATAAAAACACACACAAAAATGTTAATAAATCGAACAGTGAATAATTTATTTTGACGGAAAAGTTCAAATTATGGAAGTATAAGCTTTATCAGCATAATATACACATCCATTACAATTTCTCTAGGGCTTAACTTCCTCGTCTGTATTGAAACTCCATGGTGACTTTCGTTTTAATATTCGTACTTTCACCTCAAACATAATTTTCAGTCATAAGATCAAAATATGAACTTTTCCTTTCAGTATTCAGTCTAGAAAGACATAATATATATTGATATAACTGCTTTACACTTACCTCCGCCGTTTTTAAAACACAGATATGGAAACCTCCAGACGTTGCCAAGGCCCACAGCGTATCCTACACAGGTCAAGATAAACTCTATCTGGCTGCCCCACGCCTGTCGCGGTTGATCGCTCTACACAACAAAAAAACTGTTTTGTCAGGAACATGGTACGAATGCATCAGTTATAATCTCGGAAAAGAGGTTGTTTTGCTAGGAAAGTAATCCCTTCTGAACAGAAGATAAAGCAACCAAAAGGAGCGCTTTTATTGGCTTAGAGTAACTTTCCCGTACATCTTTCTGTCGGCTTTGCGGCCCATCACTAGGACACTCACTTTCAAGCTACGAATATATAATTCCTGGATGGTAAGATTTATAATCTGAAGGAAAAGAGTGGGCCTATTAAACAAAATTAGTATTATAACATGTCCTGTAGAAACTGACGAGAACAGAAATCGATAAACCTTTTGATTTAAATACACCTTAAAGTGCTCTGTGACCAATGGTGATTAACCCTTACAACAATAGTTTATTGTCAGAATTCAAACATGTGTTTCACATTAGAAACACAAAAGGATATGACATTTTTTAAACATATATTTTGTAATGATATTCATTTGCTTCTATTAAATTTGAAAGATTCTTCAATATTGCCACCTTTTAATATTAAGAAGCTAGCATCTTTTGCAGCTATGTCATTACATTAGACGATATAGCTTTGGAGACATCAATTCACCCTACAGACTGAATCAAATGTCATTTAAGCACAGAACTGCTTTTAGTTAACATTCATAACAATAGGAATGTCAACTGGACAAAGACGGATTCAAGAAGTGTGCTAGGGTGGATTCGCTTTTTGTCCGATGGTTATTCATATTGCATATGAATGCCAACTGAAAACAGTTCCGTGCTTATATTTACCATTTTTTTAATCTGTTTACCTAATTGAAAATTTATATTACACCTATTATCATTCAGTATTGAGTTCAAATATTATCTATATTTGGTTGATGAATAGAACAGTCATCTGTCCAGGAAATATCAGTGTTATACAACTTGAAGATTATGACGTCATAATAATGATGACGTCAACAATCATATAATTGCATTAATTGCCTGATTGTCTGAACGAGGCAATGTTATATAATGACACTACCATACGGTGTTAAACATACAGGTTTGTTTGTCCAAATAACAATTACAGTGTATAATACAATATTTGGGGTACATTGGGAAATTAATTCGTGGTTGATGCATCGGAAAGGGATCGATATTTCACTACTCAGCGTGCCCTCCTATAAAACAGACGCTTTTCTACGCGTATACTAAAGCAAGCCGTGAATGTCTTCTTCCTTTGAATATTTAAATCGTGAACCAGTCATAGTCCAAAGCAAGGGTTCCATTTAGTTTAGAGAGAGCTAATGTTAGTCGTTTGTTAACGAGGCCTGTGTGACACGTATACATATAAAACATGGTATACATCTGTGACGTCTGTCTGATAGTCAATGTCAATGTACTGAAGCTAATTAAACATAACTCATTCTTTTTACCAACTGAAGAATAAGACTCACGATCTGCAGCTAAGGAATGGTAGGTAACAAGTTTTATACTATGACATATAAAGTTGAAGCCACTATGAGCAAAAGCATCCACCTGCTACCAAAATGTAAACTTGCTAGCCTCTATCAAAACCAGTGCAAAATTAAATCGTTTGCAGTCTGCGTTAATATTTTCAGAGCCGCATTTGTCTCATTATTAACATTAAGTTGCCTCATTTTACAGACAACTGTCCGGCCTATCGTACGTGTAAAATAAACATTACTGGTTCATAACATGGAATGGCACAGTACAACTGCATAGGCATAATCAATGCTATTTGCACCTGTACACCTTTTTAACTGTGTGACCGGTTGTTGAACCTTTCATATTATACCCTATGGATTGAACAAATACTTATGTGGGATACATTATGGAACATTGGTATAAAAAAAAACCAAGGACGGAGGGACTGACGAATGTAACAGAGGCTCGACCTAACTTCGCCATGGAAAGCAATACAAGGAATCCGCTCCTGAATATTCATGAAGCACATGTCGTAAGTCCATGTCACCTTATACTATTTAACATGAAATGTTCGTTGTGTATAAACATTCGTGGTTTTCGTGGTTGCTATTGAACCACGAATATACATACAACAAGTTTGAATGATATACGTGTAAACTGTTTGTTTATATAGGATATCCACGAAAGTTTTTACCACAAAACGATCTACATGGCTTCAAACCACGAAGGAAAGTGCTCACGAACATTTCTTGTTATCTATAAACTTTATTTATTTAACAACAATTATGAAACAAGTTATTTCAACTTATATTAATCACACGTGTTGGCCCGAATGTTAGCGCGTGGGGGGTCTTATTGTGGGAGGAAACCGGAGTACCCGGAGAAAACCCACGTGTTCGGGCAGGTGACCCCAACCTTTTCACGTCCCCGGCCGCCTTGGTGAAAGGCAAGTGCGCTATCCACTGCACCAACCGACCACCCAAAAATGTCTTGTTATAGAGTAGGTTTTTGGCAACATGTAGGCAAATGTTTCAACTTATGTCACCTCTTGATGTAGAAGCCATGTTGCTGTACACGTAACTACTTCTACATGCAGGTGTGCTTAACGCAAACAAAACACCTTAGTGTTTATTTACTATGTTTTTACATTAAGGGCTGGGATAGCGCAACTCTTCAAGTATTATTTAACACTAAGGAACATACTTTACATCATATTGACACTGTGCCTCTTCATTTGTTGTATATATTTCAGAGATCGCTTATTGTTACCGGGTTAACACAGTGATACTCTAATGATAATAATAACAATATTTGCGTGAGGGTTCAGTGTGGTCTAAAAGAATCCTCGAGGTATACAATTAATATTTTGACAATATTAGTGTCAGTCACACCCTTAGTATAAAATATACATTAGAACGCATGATGAGAGGAGATTCTGCTACTTAAGTAGATACGGCGTATTCTATCTTAGCGTATTGCAGAGTTATCTTCTCTTGGGACCAGGTATTGATTGTTACATCACTTGTTTGTGAGAGTAACGTCATTATTTTTTGAGAAAACGACGTAATTTTCTCGCACAAGCCAATGACGTTACAATCAATACCTGCTCCAAAGAGAAGATAACTCTGCAATACGCAAAGACGGAAAAGAATTCAAGCTAAGCATTGAGGAAAACAAACTAGATGACAATTTACAAGACACGCAGTAAATATTGTGCAAGGCAATGTAGTCTGAGTGAGAAAACTCTTGTTATTTGACGACATTTTAGAAAGAAGAAAAAACGTAACAGCATCAGCTAGTGTTGATGAACTGTATGTCCTGCGTCGTAGTTACAATAGTTCAGTGATTCAGACAAGGCCCAGACATATCAATGTTTATATGCAAATAAAACATGTAATAAACATATCAACAAGAGAAGGGACATGTTATTTCATACGATCAGTGACGACACGGCTGTACGTCAGGCGTGCCGTGGAATACATTACACTAGTAGATGCATGTCCTAGGTATATGTTTACCGTCATACTGAGGATAACATATACCATCTCTATATTACATGTTATGAGTGACGCGATCTTTACCACTGGTATATTTTACACCAATGACAAATACCAATGTTATATTACCTGATGTTTACAATCGATATATTGGTGTAAGCATTTTAATAAAGGGAGGTGATCCACAGTTTATTTCAAATACTCACTTTTTTAATCCGTCGTTTGCTTAATTTTGTAGTTAGTTGTTAAAATTGTTCAATAATAACGAAAAGGTGGCATGTCGAAACAAACAATTTCTAATTTAAACTTGAGAACCAAAATTTTGTCAAATATCAAAACAATATATATGAACATTGTCAGCAGAAATGCATTTGATTTGAGTATGAAAGCAAAAACTCTCGTGACGTAACACGTTGTTTACTTATGATGTCATCAATTTAAGTTGTTCATGAGGATCTTGTCGCTTCGCTCCGGATAACATTGCGAATGCCCATGCGTCAAACGCTCAAATGACTACGTTTAATTATTGGCGCCAATTTTATTCAAATAGGGCTATTCCGCCAGTGTCGTTTAAAGGACGACGCATATACAAATCGCAGTGAATACATAAATCATTTAAGAACAAATTGATAAAATTAATCAATTGTTCTATTGTAAAAATGTAATCATATGGATTGAACGGCATTTTGTTTTTAAATTTTCATGCCGGTATAAACGCAAATCGGTTACATCCATATTAAACATGAAGCGGGCTTCATGCAATATGGATGTAACCGAGTTGAGATCATACCGGCATGAAAATAAAATAAGAACCATCTTTCAATCCCTATCAAATAAATAACCTTACCGCAGATGTGTTCACAACTGAATCAGTTGGTTCGGAGACGACGGGGTCCGGAGCGCTATTACCAAATGAGAACACGTTTCCAAATGTTCCGAAACGTTTTTGTTTCTGAAGGCTCCCTTTGTCAAATGAAGTTTGTTCCGACATGATACACAATCATAAATGCATTTCTTATATTCAAACTACATTCAACGACTACCAAAGCCTGGCATCCCTTCTATCTTAGTAGTATATATGTATCCATATAAAAAATGGCAGAGCTGAGTATGGACAATCACGCATGATTTCGGATTCATGTCATTGGAATGTAAAAGTTAGTATAAGATTTAAGTAGAAGATTAAAGTAGCCGTGACAGTGAATAACTGCAATCATAGTCAGCTAATCAAAGTCTAGTTAGCTTAACGAAATGTCATTAAAATCTTTATTATGATCTGAATTGCAACCTGTCTTAGAAACAGCCTGTTATTATAGCCACGTGCCTCAAATGTAAAATGTCTATAATTACCACCTGTCTATAACTAGCACCCGTCTATACACATGTAGGTAACAACATGTACACATGCACATTCAGTTTTCGACTGCATATATAAAAATAATAATATACAACATTTATAGCGCCCTATATAATTTGTAAAATTACTCTAAAGCGTTTTACAACATATGGATAATAGTAATGGTTATAATTGTAAAACAAAGGTTTACAATCACTTTTATACATTTAAGCAAGCAATGTGCACATAATTGAACAAATAAAAGGGTGGTCTTTACATGACGTCTATGCAAGGATTTTAAAATGCAGACGTGTAGAGGTGAGTTTTGATGTCCCTCTTGAACTTGGCCAGGGTATTTGACTTTCCAATAGCAGATGGTAAGCTATTCCACAACGTAGCCGAAACCCTCCCAAAGCATCTGTTATACCATATATACGTATTGCTAACTTCCATTTGCCTATAACTGCCTCCACTCTATAACTGCCACCTGTCTATAAATGCCACCTGTCTATATAACTACCACCTGTCTATATAACTACCACCTGTCAATATAACTACCACATATCTATATAGCTACCACTTGTCAATATAACTACCACATGTCTATATAACTACCACCTGTCAATATAACTACGCCCTGTCTATATAGCTACCACCTGTCTATAATTACCACCTGTCTATATAACTATCACCTGTCTATAACTAACATCTGTTAATAACTACACATTGTCTATATCTACAACCTGACTATAACTACAACCTGTCTATAACTACCATTTGATTGTGTCTACATCTACAACCTGTTTATAACGACTACCTGTCTATAACTACCATCTGTCTATAACTTCCACATGTATATAACTACCACAGCTAGTCAATAACTACCATCTGTCTATAAATACCACCTGTCTTTAACTACCACAGCCAGTCAATAACTACCACCTGTCTATAACTACCACAGCTAGTCAATAACTATCACATGTCTATAACTTTACACCTGTTTTTAACTACCTACTGTCAATAGCTACCACAGCCAGTCGATAACTACCATCTGTCTATAACTACCAACTGTCTATAAGTATCATCTGTCTATAAATACCACCTGTCTATAACTATCATTTGTATATAACTACCATCTGTCTTTAACTAACATATGTATATAACTTTCACCTGTCTATCACGACCACCTGTCTATAACTATCATCTGTCTATAAATACCACCTGTCTATCACGACCATTTGTCTATAACTGACATTTGTCTATAAATACCACCTGTCTATAACTACCATTTGTCTTTAACTACCATCCGTCTATAACTTCTACCTGTCTTTAACTAACATCTGTCTATAAGTTCCACCTGTCTATAACTACCAGCCAATCCAATAATTACCATATGCATATAATATCACCTGTCAATAACTACCATTTGTCTATAAGTTCCACCTGTCTATATATATCAACTGTTTATAATTATTACCTGTAAATAACTATCATCTGTAAAAAAAAATATAACTTGTTTATATTTACAACCTATAACTTACTCCTGTCTATACCAGCTATCGGTCTATATACAACTTCCACAGTCTATAACTACCACTTGTCTATATCCCCGACCTGTCTAAAACTAAAAGCTGTCTCTAACTACAATCTAACTATTGCTATCTCATTCCTATAAGCTACCAACTGTCCATAACTTCTACCTGTCTATAGATATTTTTCCATAACGACATGCATGTATTTACCTAAATCTTACTACAAATCAATAACCTTTAACTAGTTTGTGTCTCTAGGTGTCCCAGCTGTCTAAAATACTAGCGGTCTTAGACATGTCTTACTGTTTATTATAACCATAAAAGTAAGGCACTTTTCCCCTCTCGCTACTGTTGTATGCACGCAGGTCCCGTCAATAGTTTCATGATTCCTTGCAGTTTTTTCTCCAATCGGAAACAGAAATCATATATTCTTAAGAAAACCATGTGATTTTCCAGGAACAATATCAGCACAGAAAAAAATCGAAACCGCCTGTTTTCAAACACATTTATTAATGACAAAAACAGTCAGGTCATCAATACAACGGTCTTCCTTAGAACATGTTATAAATTTCTCTTGTGTAGCTCACCAGGTTTTATATGACTGAGAAGTTTTACAGAACGAACAGTGTCGGTTCGGCAATTTGGTCTACGCCTGGTTACCATCTTAAGAATGGTATTGTATTCGGAAATATGTTATTATTGTATTCGTAAATACTTGGTTATCTTACAACCAAGTGTACATTATGTATTTGTATGCTTGCTTGAGAAAAACGAAAAGCAAAACAAAACAACATTATTTCGTCCTCAACTTTGAATAAGACATAGCTTCATTTTATCTGAGCACAAACACAAAAAAACAAATAGTTACCTTACCAAGTTTGTTTACTCTTTCAAATCGACAAATCAAAATGGATGAGAGTCAAAAACAAATGTGTATATTTAGATTACAATTAAGCAGACGATAACAGAGCAAAAGGTCAGAAAGAAGACTCCAATGTCTAAGCAACGTGGAAATGTTCGAGACTTTTATGTTTTTCTCAGCGATAAAATTCCATATATTTTGGGTGGACAGGTCAAGGTCACATAGAATGTCTCTCAGTTTTATTCGCAACCGACGACAGTCCAGGAATTCGGACAGATCCATTTCATCTTGATACCCCTGGATTAGGGCCGATTGGCTGGGATATAACCCACATTTTAGACACCCGCGACCTCAGGGGCTCAATGCCTGGGTCAATCAAACACTACTCGAAAGCAGGTAATTCTACGTACGTTTGCATCATCGATACACCGCGCCTTGCTCTCATGTGATAATGGGCATATTTTGTCCCAAATATTTAAAGATTAAATAAATATTTTATTGAACTCTCACACATTTGAAAAGATAAGCTATACATTTATATACACAAAAATATAATCAAAAATGTCCAATCTAAGTCTGTCTTAATAACATCATGAGATATTATTATAAATATACATTGAAATTCATTTAAAACGATACAAATCATGTTAATTTAAATTACGTATACAATTGTATTCCATAAAACCTGGTGCATTAAATAGTATTGCTTATTTCATACAATCTCTTCATATACTTAAATGTTGTCGCTCACATATCTTACGAGTTTTTAAAAACACCAGTAGATAATATAATATAATTTAATACTAATATATTTTATTCCAGATGATAGTTATCAATACATAATAGTCTCGATGAATTTTTGATGACAAGGTGACAAAGTCACAGAAAAGCTTAAAGCGGGCATCGCTAAATATTTCTCTAGAATTATGCATAAGACTTTCAGCAATTTTTCTGTTAATTTAATTTTTGTAGGATCAGAAATTATTGTCCTTCAGAATGATTAGGCACGACGCCTATGTAAGTCGTTTAGGACATGTGAAATGAAATTCCGGGTGTTCTATGAATGGAATAATTTTCAACATTAGCGAAATGAGAATAATTTATACGGTCAAATGGACAATTAAGAGTCAGTTTAGATGGTTTTATTGGCATCGTGAGATAAATTCCCATCTCGACGTATTATTTACAGATAACTATATTGACATAAGGTGGTGGTTGTCAATGAATGTTGTTATGGAGATAACAACTTGAACGCTTCACACTACTTAATCTCAATACATATTGACGGCGTGCATTATTCGGGTTATTTATTTGGGAGTGGAGAGGCATGTTCGAAAACTTTGTTTAAGGTACGAGGTGTTTTATCGACTACGTCACGGAAAAGTACCGACGTCCTGAAATATTTTGGTGACTGTGTTGGATTGTAAACAAATAAAAGGTAGGAAAAGTACCGAAGTAGGAGATCAACAAACACGTCAGACAAACGCAAGTGTCAACGAGGACAACGCACTGACATATCAAGTTTTATATCTATATGAATACACTCTAAGGTGTGTCATGTCATTGATAATAAAAATGACTGGAACTCTGCATTCATGTACATAAAGACAAATTACTTGTTACTGAGGGTTTAATCATTGTTTTATGTATATTTTTGAAGTCATGAATAACTACTATATCATTATTATTAATTTTTTTTTTATCTTTTTTTTTTTTTATATTTACTGTCATAGCATGTTTATTTTAAGATGTTAAAACAATATAAATCATATCTCAGTTTTAGGGGTTTTTGCTGAGCTTATTGAATTATGCTAAGTTGATTGACCATCTTTATTAGGGAAAATGATACTTATTGCATAGCACAGGTCCCTATAAAATGATCATCGGGAACGTATTCAAATTTCCCAAAAGGTTTGCTCGTGTTAAATTAATGCTTTCTGCCATAGTTTAGAATGTTATTTTTTGAACTAATGTATCCGCTTTTCCCTCTCAAGCGCCTTACTAATTTATGTAAAACATATGGGAAAAATCATGGTTGACTACAAACAGAGTTTGAAGTTGAATAAGAAGAGACAATTTTTCAATACATATTCACTTAAAAAATGAAACTTGTTATCCTTTAAACAATTAAAAGAACCAATACTTTTCTGTGTGCTTCCTTCGTCGCCTAATTACTTTAGACAATTGTATCCACTATTTAAAGGGGCTCAATAATGTTCGATATGAAATAAGAGTTTTAGTTTGGATGCGAAATCAAGAGTCGAAGAAAATTGCAGCTAAAACAACTTTGAACTCGATTTTGAATGCTATTTATCTAATGATGTATATTATGTAGGACACAACCATTCCA